GGGGGGGGGGGGGGGGGGGGGGGGGCTAACAAAGAAGACTGTAGCTCAGGGGGTCTCCAACGTGAGGAAGGGGGGGGGGGGGAGAGGTTGCTATGACGAAACTGAACCTCTCCTCCCCGCCGGTCTAAAAAGTTTGTTCCCCCTAACTAACTTTTTAGACCGTTTAGTCCCCCCCGTTAAACAGTTTAGTCCCCCCTGACTAGCACCTCCGAACTCTGCCTATGTGAGACCCACACGTCAAGCCTTTCAAGAGGAGTTCGTGGGGGAGAAGTATGATTGCTGGAATGATTTCTGCAGGATAAGATAAACAACCACCCGTTAGCACGTTTCCAAAGATGGTGAAGAGAGGAAAGAGAGAGAGAGAGAGAGGGAGGGAGGATGAGTGGGAGCTAAGAAGAGGTCGGTCCCTCACCCTCTCAGCCTTGCCCATTTAAGGAGACTTCAACTCACGGATCCTTCCGTCACTCAAGCATACAATCCTTCCCTCTTTCAGCAATCGAAAAGTATCGTTCTGAGAACTTCCGATTCCACATATTCTAATTGCGCAAACCCGATATGAGACTATGTAAGTCATTTTTCCGGTCTTAGCAATGACGGTGCAGAAACCAAAGATTCGAGGAAGAAAGTCCTGGAAATTGTATCCGACGCGCCATGACTACCAGATGAGAACGAGGAGTCCGTTTCATCGTGGTTTCGCTAAATCGATCGTGCCTTCATGAATTCATCATCGGAAGCTGTGCGGGAAATCTGTGCAATTTCCGCTTCATTCTAAATTTGCTACTGAGTTTGCCGGCTCGTCTCTGCAAAGTTTTCAAGTCTAACTTTAGCAAAATCTCTTTAATCGACGTATGGCTCGTGCAGAGATCCCCTCATCTTCGGCAAAAAGAAGTAATCTCTTCTGTCGAACGGTGTTTGCTAGATTATCTGGATTTGAGATGCCTACGTAGAAAAATGTCATGGAAACAGTGAGCTATGGGCTGTTGTTACACGAGGAACGATTATGTTGTTGAAGGGAACGCCCAGTTGTGCCCCTGTTGCGTGCAGAGGAGTAAAGAAAACGAGAAGGCAGAAGGGAAAGTGGATATTTCTTGGAGCGGGACCTTGACCGTGAAGGATCTCGTCTACAATCATTCTGGTTCCATCTGGAGGGACATATAGGATACACGTTGCGTCATTTCCTCCCGATTCGTTCTGTAATGAGCCCGAATTCCTCCCTGCTACGATATAGGGTACTTGCGTAGATAAAGAAGGAGAAATGCAAGATCCGTAGGGAATTCTAGGACGATCGCGTTCAACGTTGGCTCTCGGCAACAAATTCTTCCTCGTTTATCAGCACTTTTCTCCGCTGGAACGGCAATCTTAGACTTCTCATTACAAAATTTTCACAAGGCGATACGACTTCGACCGAGACGAGTCAGCGGAGGTCTGTGCGTTCGTTTCAAGGTTGGTTCCGGGCATTCAATTCATAACTATGAGCTTTCCCTCGAACGAAACCGCGTTAGCGGTTTCCGCAGTATTTGAACATGAAGTCGAACGTACACACACGCGCGTATGTATTCGTACTTCGGGGTGAAAACCAACAGAAAGAAGAAACTAGGAAGACGAAGGATCGAGAAGGATTCAAGTGAATAATAATTGAGAGAGAGAGGGCGAGCGAGCGCGGATTTGAGGCTGGAAGTTAAACCAGAACCGTTTGTGACCGGGAAGGAGTAAATGTATGATCGAGAAGAAGAGAATGGAGACTCCACCCGAGGAACCCACTCGATACATAAGGGAGGCATACATATATGGCTAGGCCAAGGTGAATGTGGAATGACTAGGACTCCGCCCGTTTTCCCGACCTTCCTCTTCCCTCTACACCTCTGTCATCCAGTCACTCACCCGAGACTCTCTCTACCCTCACGTGAGAGTGAGCGAGAAGGGAGTGAAGGTTCATCGTCTCTCTTCCGGTGAGCAGTTCTCTCGTCAAAAAGCTAGTACGACGTGTAGGATATGAACCTTGTGACCTTTCTGTCGAGGTCGAGGTTATGAACATTTACGGTCAAACTGCAGAGCACATTTACTTTCGCAAAAATTGTATCTCTATTGTATCTCTATATTTTGGTCGAATGCGTCTTTTGCGCTAATACAGGGTGAACGATTGGACGCTCTCGATAGTTTATCGTAACAAAACGTTTGTATGAACAATTGCCTAGAGGCTTTACGTGAGCATCGATAAATTACTCTTCTTGGAATACGTACGTCGTCATAGCCAAGCTAAGCTGTAAGCATGAAAGCATTGACTCATCGAGGAGGTACCGAAGCCTTGAAGCTCTTGAGGTGTTGCGATTCCAGGGCATTGCTACCATCTCACTCTCGTATTCCCATGGTCCCATGAGATACGTGATCGTATTCAACAGCACTTGTCAGTGAGTCGGTCGACGAGCTCGGTCGAGTTTCTTTGCAGCATGGTCGATCGGCTGCCACGTGATTGCACGAATCGCATCTTCCCCGTAGAGGTTGAGAATCTCAAATCGAGTCACTTCAATACAAGAATGTATTCCCTCGATCATGCATTAATACGTAAATATTTACTCGTGTGAAGAAGATCTCCTTCAATTGTATGCATGAAAATTCCCGAGATTCGAAGAGGCAGCGAGGTTTTATGAAGATTAGAAAGCTTTCCAATATTTTCCCACCGCTTATATGGTAGGATGAGGATAATTTTTTAAATTATTCATTCGATCCAACTTTCCTGTGAGCAATGAGACAAATGAGACACTGTTAACGTTATGTGCGTTTTTTGTCTTACTCGCAATGATATTTATGCATGGACTATAGAATTCCATTTCTTCAGTCAAGCCTTGCTTTAGTATTTTTCCATGTGTTCATTTGTCCTATCAATTTGTTTAGATTTTATTTGTTTCTTCACAGGTTCCATGTGTTTCGAAATAGATCGAGTCGACTAGAGAGCCAAGATCTAGTGGAAACACAGAGGAATCCCAGTAAACGAGAGCAAAGATGTTTCCTCACCTGGTGAGTCCCCCTTACGAAGGAACGGTTTTTTCCTGAGCCGCTCCCTATTTCCTAAGTCTTTTATTTTCGGCCGCAAAGGAAACACGAAGAGAAAGAAAAATCGTCGAGGTAGTCATTTCTTATGATCGAGGCGCAGCTCTAAGAATGCATTTGAAATATGAAAGTCAGGGCCAGCATTTGAATGCAGTAATTGCGGCGTTGGTTGATGCTGCCCACTGCTTTCACCGAGAACGTTTCGGAAGCTTTGGCAAAGACGACGAGAATCTGACGCAAGATATCATTTGCTTCGAGTATATGGTCATATTTGTGCTTTCTCTGTTCTTGTTTGGAAAAATAATGATGATGAAAAATAATGACGGAAGCGACCGATAAAATTCTCCATACGGTAGTTACCTTAATTCACCCCGAACGTGAGGAGGGCAAAGCTCGCCCGGCGTCCGAGAGTCGAACAGAAGAAAATCACTTTTCATCGAGCTTGTCGCTTTGGAGAAATTCGTTGGATTTGTCGTCGTCATTATGACAGTCCATGAAAAGGGGAGTTAGAGTGATCGCTGTAGAAAGACGTTCTGGATGCCCCATGCGATCGGCAGACCTAGTGTAATGCGTCTCTCTGCCATACCGTCAAAGGCCGAAGGACATCAGTCTCAATTTTCAGCCTCATTCATGCCTCATTGCCTGCCTCTCGGATAGGCCATTATATGGGTATAGGTTACTTATTGATATTTATGCAAATATAAACATACAGTCTCATACAAACTTCGCTCGTAACATTTCTACAAGTTACATTTAAAGAGTCAATTTAACTAAATTTAATAGCAAAATCGAAAACCTAATCGATGGGATAACTTTCATAATTCCATATGCTATAAAGTTGCACATGCGACATGGAAAGAGGTACCCCGGTCCGAATGCAATTAAATCACAAGAGACTCGTGATTTAATCGATTTAAGAGCTCGAAAGTGGTTGTTCGCACATTCGAGCTGCGAACCGAAAGTGTCTCCAGCTCTGACGGAGATGCTCCAAGAGCGTCCTTGGGTCGACTGCCTTCAGGTGTCAGTCGGAGGAAGGCCGATCGCCGCAGGTGTGGCCGCACCATACCATATGCAGCCCTAACGGTTGTCGCACTGACTGATCAAGGGCCTGGGCTTCAACTTCGTGGATCACCGGGGTACCCTCTTTCAGCTGATGGCAGCTTGCATCTTTTTTTGTCGTAAGGTTTTACATCCTCTGTCTTGAGCTTCATGTCCGAAGAATCCAACGCCGTCCTTCCTTCTGCTAGGCTCCCTTTGCTCATGCCTTCGCTCACCCTTTCCAAGCTGTGATCCCTTAGCCTGATAGTCCGTCCTTGCCAGACCAAGGAGTTCTAAATTATATCCTTTACTTACGCGACGTTCACATTAGTTCGGAATTTTTTTTTGTGGAAAATTTACAGTGACTGAGCCTTCGATTGATTGTCCGAGGACAACGCATAAAAAATATCGAAAAAATTATTTTATATATATCTGACAAACAAAAACGATACAAGTCTGCAGCGGGGAAAAATGAAAATCATGTTCTGAGTCAGAAGTCAGAATCAAAGTTCTTCAAGATGCAGACAAAAATATGTAATATTAAGTATATAAAGGTAGAAATCGAGGGGCGATCGTTCAAATTGTTGCTGCGTCATGAGAACGCTCGAGCACGAACCTTGAGAAAATCCATTATTCTTGACCAGAGGAAATTTTAACTCAATCGAGACGAACCGAGGGCATTATTGAGGAAAGAGATCACCATAGGAACGAGTCGCATCGATCAACATGACCGAATTTCTACTTCGTCGGGTCCAGACGTTGATATTCTGGAACCTGATTTTGAAGACGGAGGTGTTGGGAGGGAGACCGGAGAACCCCTGGCACATGGGAGCGGCATTACCCCATCGTTACAGTGGTAAACGTGGAGATAGCCAGGCGTGTGGACCGGACACTTGCAATGGAACCGCGGGTGAGGCGTGTGAGAGTCTTTTTGGACGACGCACGGCAATCACCTTCTGCATCCCCAAGTTCTGCTTTCAATTCTTCCCTGACACAGGGTAGGCCTCCAGGCATTTCAGCTATGTATGCATCAGGGGTCTCACTATTTATTTGGCAATCCAAAATTTATTTTCATTAAACAGCTGATTGAAACTGGCACTTCATACAGAGCTGGAGAACATTCTTATAGCAAGGGCTTGCGTTATTTTTGACATGAGGCTGGAACCTTGTCTCTATGTAGTCTCCACCAATATCAACGCATTCCCTCCATCAACAGTGGAAGGCCCATTCATAGAAATCAAGGTCATTTCAGTTCGCATGCGAACTTCGTTTCCGAATAGGTCTATCTGAAGTATTCCCTCTTTTAGAACTTCTGTGCATACCTCATCTAAAAAGAGGCGCTACATGAGTTCCAATCTGAGGGAATGGAGGCTGAGTTGATGAGATCTTCATATAAACAAAGACAGCCTTGAATTTTTTATACCTTGCAGTAACTTAAGGAAGCCAGAAACATTTATTTGCTTCCTGCTGTTCGGGAAAATATATTATTTCTTTACATGTAAAATGAATCCTTGGAACTCCTGTGAGTTTTTTATGTTGGGAGAAGGAATGGAGAGAAAGGAATAGGGGGGGGAAATACATCAGAAGAAACATGATCAGATGGTTTAGACCCACCGGAGTTCTCTCTTATACCGTTTCCCGTTACCAAAGAGCAACTACAGCATCAAGAGGCTGCTTTGATTTTTCATGTGGAGATACCGGTCTTCACCAGTTTTACATGAATAAAAATCAAATTGGGTTTGCCTGGGCAAACGGAGAGGATTTGTTCGTCATATCTGAAACCGCCGGTACCCAAAGTTTGACCTCCCCCCCCAACTCCCTTTCCCCTTCCATATTACACCATGGACTCACATGTAGCTACGATCTGCACAACCCTGTAATCGGGGCTCATATTATTAGGTATGCTTTGAAATGGCGCGTCCGAACGCTTGCACAGATATGACCGTCCGGATGCGGAAGTGTTTGCCAAGTTGCCTTGCGAGCCGCTGTTAACGGCATCGCCGATTAACCCTCGATGCCCAGCAGTGAGATGCGCCCACGTATGCAAGTACGACCTCCACGACCCGAAGATCTGCCCGAAATACATGCGATGCTGCCCTTCCGGGTGCGAGGAGACCCATGGTTTCCACTGTTGCTTCTCGTCCCAGCTGGTCGGCTGCCTCCTGACCACTCCGGGACAGCAAAACCTCTTCAGGTTGTTACTGCTGGCGGTCGTCGCCGGGTGGATATACGTCTTCGTCGTCCATTTCCGGATTCGACGATCGCAGAGCCGATCTGTTTGCTGAAACCTTATTCAAATCTTTTATTCAACCACTTGTACCTATACAATAAACTATCATTCCCTTTTTTTACGCTTGCATTACATAGTATATTTTCTCTAATCAACTTATTCTACATCAATAAATATACATTTAAGTCCACGTATTTTTAGGCTTGTTCTCAATAGCAAAGAACTATTCAATCTTATTTCTCGATAGTTTCTCTTTCTATTTCCTAAAAGTATTATTGGCCCAGGCAGCGTATTAGCTCGTATTTCCAGTTCATGCACAGACTTTTTGGCATTTTTCACGTGGGCAGAATGGCGTAATATTAATGCCTGGAATGAAAGGATAATTGAGCAACCCGGAGTCGATCGCGATTTCATGCTTGGTAGCCCTAGGTTTTTTTTTCGTATTTGGAGGAGGTCATGTGCAGACAGAGAGAAGGCTTTTAGCTTTCGCTTCTCTAGCCATGCGAGAAGGGACTGGAGCGTGGAACTGAGCACATTCGATTGTGTTCGTATTGTACAGTTCCCTTCCAATCATTGCAATGGGTGCAGGTGCTTGTAAGGCTGGACACAATGAGAAGACTACTCCAGTCTAATGGGTACCAAGAGAGTTCCAAAACTTCGCTTTCAGGTAATTATGATATCGACAGATACGCTGGGTCTTTCTGAAGAAGGAATGTGAATAATCATACAGGCTCATGTTTCGGATATTTTTATACAGGGTCCCTGTCAATTTTGATGAAAAACAATGAATTTCCTTTACATTTCAGGTTCTATTATTGAAATATATAAACTTAAATCATTTAAGCATTGTTTCATCAAGAAGCACTAGTTCATCTCCATATGTCCACCATTTATATCTCGGCATTCTTGCCACCGGTCGGTGGTAGATTTGAGCGCGTTGTCCAACATTGCTTGTGTTATGGATTCAACTACATCGTAAATTCGAGTTGTAAGATCCTGCAAGTCGCGAACCTTGCGTCTATAAACCTGCAGCTCCCCACAAAAAGTCCATTGGTGTCAATTCCGGCGACCGTGGTGCCCATTAGGTGTCTCAACCTCGGCCTATCCACCGCTCAGGAAAAATTATTTTACCTTCTCTGATACTGTCAGCATGGTGTGTCATTCAGTTATCCGTCCACCTTTCCACTATTGCAGAACTGTTTCGTCGAGTAAACCTGAAATTTCATGGATATTTATCGTTTTTCATCAAAATAGATAGGGACTTTAGTACCCATTAAAGGTTAAAATTTGAACGCTTCAGAAAGGTCAAATTTGTATCGATGTTTTTTCTTTTATCCGTTGGTGGCGGAAATGGGATAGATTGAGCAGGCATTCTTCGAGCTCAGGGCATCTGTGTTTTCCATTCCATTTTTTAATACTTAGCCTGTGAATGAGGGAAAAGAAGTGAAGAGACAGGAAGGATGGCCAATATAAGAGGTTCTCTGTCCCAGGTGCCTGACAGTCTGACTCATGAACGAAATGTTCACCCGCTGCGCTAAGGCCTAAACAAATTTTTTCCATCCTTCCGCCTCTCCCTTCGTTTTCTTTCTTTTGAGATACATGAACTGATACCGGAGAATAGATTTACCGTTTCGCACTGCGAATGGAATGAGTCCTTTACTGCTTGGGTCGAAAATGGGCCGATTAAGGAATTGTTCCTGTTCAGAAGAAATTTGACGCCGCTGCTCAATGATGCGATGTGCCAAATGCAAATCTTGAATCTTACCAATTCTCACGAAGGGAACGAAGTGAGCAGTCGCAGTCTCACGCGGCGGAACTCTTTCCCAATTAAAGGGCAGAAAAGAAAACTGATGTATCTACAATTAGAGAGCTGAGGAATGTTGATTTGATGTACATGGACCACTTTTTTCCATTGAGGACAGTAGCTTGAGGGATTTATTGCGGGAGAAAGACTGAAAAAGAATACATATACCAATTTTCCTCGCTTTTAAGAGGACGGTCAGAAGAATCATCACTCTTTTTTTTGGAGTTTGAAAGACGATTAGATAGATCTGTTTATTTTCAGCCCTTCAATTCTTGCGCTCACAGGAGAATTAGAAGTTCTTGCTGACAGCACTCGATGTCTCTCTTTGCCGTCACCACCAAATGAGGATCAAGCACGCAAGCTCATTTAGTTGTCTTCTTAGCGTTCTTTAACAGTCTGGCATTTATCATGTGCTAGATATATATTTTTTCGAGAGTTGTTCCCAGACTGCCTGTTGTCAGCTGGGTCTCGCCAGCCGTGGAACATACACTTTACATTATTCTAACCTGTCCTCCCTTCTTCCACCCTCCCTCTGCCCTTCGGGAATGCAGCGTGCTTCTCTCTAACTTGAAACCCCTCATAATGTGCCTACTCTTCTCCAAACAAAGATCTGTCCACTTGGCTATAGCAGCGCCAGAGTTTCTGTCTCGTATTTCTGTCTATCACGCTTATATGAGGTCTGGCCCATATGCAGTGATTATAAAGTTCTTCACTTTTGAGCGCCATAGCGCCTAAACTATAAGGTATAGGATGTTGCCTCGCACACGTGGGACAAGTGTAACAAGGGTTATCTTATATACAAGTACTAGCACTTACCAAATCTTATCCATCAAGCTGCGACCATTCCATATTTCAGCACCTACGAAATTTTACCACAGGTTTAATTTGCATTGAGGGCATGCTATTTGTATAGAAAAACTTCAGTATAAGGCTTCAGTAAATGGGAAATTTATATACAACCTGAATTTCAAGTATGACCCAAATCTTAGCAGTGGCGAGTATTTTCAAATGTTTCTCTCCTCGTTCAAGAGTCTCCTCCAAATGAATCAAAACTAAAACCTGTAAGTCATCAAGAGCTAATTTCTAATATTGGCAGGTACCTAACCAGCTAGTTATATCCATATCTCAGCAAACCTCTCTCTCCCCCCCTCCCACCTTTTGTGCTTTTTTCTATGTGATTGGGCTTCCAAACTGCTCGAAATTCAGTTGAGACCACCAGTTATCACCAACTTATTACTGGTGGAGAAATACTGCTAAACCAGTTTGTGATTAGGAAGACTTAGCTATTGGAAGTTCACCCGTCGAGACCCAGCTAATGGAGAACCGAATGACAGCCAGCAAGCCTCTCCCTTTCTTATTTTTATTTATTTAAACTTTTTAAAGAACTCCTCAGAGATACCTCGTTTCCCCCCCCCCCCCTATTAATGAGTGGGTTGTGGGATGTAGTAACACCTTGAACAGGTGTTTCACGATCCACGTGCAAGAAAACGTCAACAAAGAACCACCATGAAACATGCGATCGGAATCCACTCTACCAAGCTGGTAGGAGTGAATCCCGAATGGAATCCCGTCGGAGTGGAAGGCCATTCAGATATCCGATCCCGATATAGACCAAGGCCGAAGAATGCAAAGGAAGCAGGGGTGCGCAGCAGAAGATAATCTGGTCTGGGATGTCCTCCTCATCAGCATTCATGACGAGACAAACATTCCTATAAGGAAAGCTGGGTCTTGTGCCGGAACCGCCATAAATTCCTATCCTTCTTTGCCTATTTTATGATCTTAGCGCCAATTTAATTAGCATTTTACATCGTGCACAACTCCATTTCGAGAACAAAAGCACAAGAATAATAAGAATGTAGAGAGAGACGTGTCACCTTTCTCAGAATGGAGTCTTTGAACCCGTCCGATTGTCATCCAAATTCAGTCATCCAAATTTACATAATCTCTGAGAGAGGAGGAAGAATAATGGTTCACCTAGGAGACTTCTAACGATTTGTCCTTCGGGCCAATAAGGAATTTCCACAAGAGTACTTATCCAGCTTTAAAGTGACTCATTATCAGGCGCGTCGTTTTGAAGGCAACCCTCACCCTACCCTGCCCTTCGCTTCCCTCTGACCCTGCAGCCGCCCTCCTAGTTCACGAATTGACGTCCCAGCCCATTATAAACGATTTTCTCTTCAAAACTGGAAACTGATTGATTGGGAAAAGAAAGAAGGGGAAAAAAACCAACCTAGAAATCCGAGACGATTCTACAATACCATGACCTAAGGGACGATCACACCGTTTTCAACGGAGGAAAATAATTCCCGTTTTCGGGACCTGTTTAGTGATTTAGACTTTCTTTGACATTAATGGAAAGCCCTCTGTCGTCTATGTTCAAATTGTCATAACAACGACATAGTCACAAAATAACTGGGTCATATAGGGCCCACAGGGACATTTCCCAACGATACCGGTGACGGATAGAAGAATTGGGTCTGTATACGTGATGTTCCCCTCCCCCCTCCCCCCAAACTAAATATAAGGTTTCGCTTTTATCTCTACCAGTGACTTTTTTTCTCCCCAGGTGGTGTTACTGGCAGTGTTGAGTCCCCTATGGGCATACAGTCCTTATCCCTCCAACTACCACATCCAAACGGATGAGGGTCTGGAGCGGTACTTCCGGTATCAGACCTACAATGGGCAATTCCGAAAGGAGAAGCGCCTTGAAGACGGGACCCAAGTCGGAACTTACGGATGGATCGATCCTTTCGGAAAGCTCCGACTCTACGACTACGTTGCCGATTCTTGGGGGTACAGGATCGTCCAGACTCGGGTGGTGGACGTGGACAAGAACGGGAAACCCATCGGAGAACCCATCGTCACCAAGATGGACGATACCCCGATCATGCCCTTCATCAATAAACACGTCCACAACGGAATCGATAACACGTATCGTGTGCCCTCTTCCGAATCCAGATCTGCAGCTCAAGTGCCCTCATCGAATTATGGAGCTCCTGATAATGAGCCCTCATCCCATTACGGACCTCCGCCTTCGGTGCCCTCAACGACGTATGGGCCACCACCTTCGGTGCCCCAATCGACGTATGGGTCACCATCTTCGGTGCCCCAATCGACGTATGGACCACCACCTTCGGTGCCCCAATCGACGTATGGGCCTCCACTTGCGGCGCCTTCATTGGCCTACGGACCTCCTCCTTCACTGCACTCATCTCACGGACCTTCCTTACCAGAAAATAACGATTTCGATCGGAAACCAGTCATCGTTCACCACGGATCACCCGACCACCACGATAACGACCTCGAAGGGGAATCCACTTACAAACCGATCGAGGATACGTACGAACCTCCGAATTACAGCACGCCTCCGCCTCCAAGCCCGGTAAAGCCCGCGCCCGTATTCCCGAGTACCTACAAACCGCTCGTTCATCAGGACGACTACAAGCCGGAGCAGAAGACTTACACGCAGCCCGCCTACGTACCTCCCCGAAACGTATACAGAGCACCGGCGAAACCGACGACGCAAGGGCACTACGTACCCCCGTTGGTGACGCACTCCTTCTACGATCCGCTGTGCGACGAAGACGGAACGCACTCCCGCAATCCGACACCGAAGCCGACGCACGCAACGACGCAGAAACCTCATGTCCATTCCTACAAACCGACACCTGTGATATCGCACGCCTATAAACCGGAATCGAAGCCGGTCTACGTGCCACCAGTGGATTCGTACGTCCAGAAACCGAACTCGCCCGACCATCAGTCGTACAAACCGCAATCCGCAGAAAAGATTCACACCCACTCGTACAAACCGAAGCCCACACCTCAACATCACGATCACCATAGCTATAAACCTGCGGTAGCCGTGAGGCCTCACACGCACTCCTACGCGCACGATCCCAAGCCGCATCATTCCTTCGAACCGGAACACACCTTCAAGCCGAAGGCCCAACATGCATCATCCTACAAACCGGTAGCCGTCGCACACGTTAAACCGGACACCCATTCCTACCGGCCCGAACAGAAGCCTCACGTCTACACGCCGTCGCGGCCGAACTCGCAATTCGTGGAGACGCACCATCACACCAAAGCCCATTCCTTTAAACCGAATCTCGACCACCACGACTCCTCCGAGAAAAAGCACACGTTCTACGTGACTCCGAAACCGAGTCACACCTTCTTGGATCATTACGCTTCGGCCAGCAACCGAGACTACCAGATAGGCACCGTCGCTCCCGGTCACGTACACAAACGTGAACGCGAAACACCGTCGGTGACGGTGAAGACAGAGTCTCGGCCGCTCCACCTCAGACCCACGACCTCCTTCGTTCCTCCGAAGACGACCACCGAGGAAAACACTTACGTCCCCCCGGAACCTTCTTCACCGGACACCGCAGACGCAGACGCCCCTTCGTCCAGGATAGAACCGCCCCCATTCTCCGGTTCCGATTCGGGCGGCGACGACAGCCTTCGGAATTTCTTCATCCCCGAAGAACCGGCTCCGTTCTTGGCAGCGAGGAGCGTACCGGGCGATTTCTCCCGCGGAAACGGCGAACCTTTCCGAATCGTGAGGAAACGCGAAGTGAAAGACCCCCACACTCGAAGCGGAGTCTACACCCAGCCTCACGACCCGAATGCCTTCGGATACAACACGGGCACTCAGTTTCATTACCAGAAATCGCTGCCGAACGGAAGATCCGTGGGGAAATTCGGTTACGTGGATCCCTTCGGGATCAGAAGGATCATCACCTACCAGGCTGGTCCCGCCGGTTTCAACGTGAAGAAGGATTTCTCCTTCGTCGGAAGGGGGTACGACCTCAGCAACGAGTGAAGGTTCGGAGCGATCGGTTTCTTTCATGTGATACGCGCAGCGAAACTCGACCCGGTTTAACGTTCGTCCAGTGTGAATCGGTGCCATCCGACGAGAGCGAATCGAGTGTGTGTGTTCCGTCCTACAAGCTCGAATGAGTGTCTGCATCGAGTGGCAGCTCCTCCTTTATCGTACTCACGAAAGAAGAAAGTTTCATAATAATAAAAAAATAATTGTTGAAGTCCTATTTTCCCACACATTCTCCTATATAAATGCTTTAAAATTCGTCCTCTTAGCAGCATTCGGGAAGACACCCGACGAGACTTTCGGATTAACCTACGGAAGATTCTGCTCTTGATGCTACACCACGACCGGAAGTGATTTCCCATGTGGCACTGCAACGTTGAATAGTCGTAGGTATATCGACCTAGAAACGTTGAGTAAACGTTGAAAGTATACGTAGACTCGGCGTGGAAATGGGAATATCATCTTCTTAGAATAAGCGTAGATTTGGAAACGTTGAGAGCATACGTAGAATCCACGTGGAAATGGGAACATCATCTACGTAGATTAAATGTCGATTTGTCAACGTTTTTTCTGTGGCTTTTGCAATGACACCTTCCCTCGTAGAGATTCGCAACCAATACAATCCAACCAAAAATTCTCCAACACAAGAGATTTATTCCTTTAGCCATTTTTGACTATTACTCCTCATATTAATAATTCCAGAATGTCAACATGAACCGCAACAAAAGAAACCACATTATCCTCTTAAAGCAGGATTCATCAGATCACTCATGTAGCTCCAGCTCCTCACGCTCATATTCACTTAAATATCAGTCACTATGAACTGCAAAGCTAAGAAAACAGGGTTAGTTAATAATGACATTCTCAAATCCAGGGATTAATATTCCTGATAAGGGCATATTGAATGTGATATGCACAGTACAGTAAAGTGTACAGTTGTTACACTTCTATCATGAGCATATTGAGGATCTGTACTCTGTCATGGAATCCAATGAGACTTTCTGAATTACTTAGATAATGGAGAGCTGCAAGGATTTACTTTTAACTTTAGTTTCCCCATTCAGCTCTTCAGATTATAATAACATTGCACATCAATATAAAGAGGAAAAACTGAATTACTCTAATGCTAGATGAGTGGGCCAATAATTCCATTATACTGGACTATCCTTAAGATGGCTACTTTCTCTTGAAAAAGTGCATTGAAAATATAACTCAGACAACTCATCCAGAAATTTAAATAAGTTGTGATGCTGGGTATTTTTTGAGTAGCAACAACATTTTTAAAATTAAAACTTCACTCTTCTCAATGAGTTGGATGACCTTACATGTATTTCACAAGACACTCCCACAGTGACTCCACAGAATTGTATTCCAGGCTGAAGAAAATATTGAGATCCTATTCACAGGAAAATGGAGCATGTCCTAAAATAGGGAACTTTGCTAACAAAAACTCCTTGAAGGATTGAAATGTAATTCAAGACTACTTCAAGCATCTCAAGTCCAATGGATCATTAAATATCAAAGCAGCCTACCCATACATTACATATCATAACTTATGAGTAGATCGGTTTAACTTTCTAAGATAGCGAGCACAGAAACTTTCAGGCCTATTAAATTCTTGCAATTTTTTATTACATCTTCTCACATCTAAAGGGAGTTGACAGAATACAGGTTTCAAATAGGCCTAGAAACAAGAATGGTGTACCAAAAAAAATATGCTTGCCAGTGGAGTCTGGACAATTTTCAACTCAAATGACCCATCTAACTGCCTCTAATTCTCCATTATATTTACTTCCTAAGTTTTACAAAATTTAGCATTTGAACTTAATACCAGAGAATCTGAATTGGTTTGATGAAAAGCTATTAACTCCTTAAACCTTAATGGATAGAGGTATCAATTTACTTGCTCTTAACATTCAACATATATTTTCTATGAAGGCAGCATACTGGTTGAACATGTAATTAAATAATATACACCAATCAATTTAATTATTTTGATACTCATAGTTCCTGTAGTCTCATGAGAAGCAACAGTCCTATCTAAAATGAAAATAGTTGGATTATTGCACAAGTCTGTCAGCTGGGCCAAACATAATCCAGCTAATAATACCAACGGGTCCATGAATGGATTGGAGACCTCTTTATGCTAAACTGCAGGTAGGATTGGGTTTAGTCCTGCGGACATGTGAACAATTCCTAAGATGCATTATAGGTCGAGGCCTATCCACAAAAAAAAGTGATTGGTTCTACAAGGAGGCATGCAGGTCTACCTTGGCGTCTCTACCGAGAGGACTTAACTGGTCAGTTTCCCAAGGATTCGTCTTACTCAGCACAGAGTAGGCTAGCGCAACGAAATGGTACAGTTAAGGACAGAGTACAGGGTGGGGCAAAAAAAACTTCGGTTATCTTCATCACTCCACAGCACTGGTTCCAAAGAGTTTCCTAAAAATGTAATAGTGCCTCCATGTGGAACATTCATTTAGCTTTCGAATTATGTTAACAAAACAAAGATTTGTGGCCTAACTACCACGCAGTTTGATAAAGAGTGTATGGGAGGGGGGCGCTGGAAAAGTTGGAGCCATACTGCGATCGATTTCAGCCAGTGCATGCAATAGAGCTTGGTTAATTAATCATTTCTTAGAAATTCTTAGAATCTATCTATATCTTACTGACCTATACTAATGAGTAACCAATGAGATTATAACACTGCGCTTGATTAATTTCATGCAATATAAAATTTAATTCAAAAGAGTACAGATAAATGTATTTCACAGAAATCACACGAGAAACCTTGGACACACCCACCCACTTATCTGCTGCTTGTGAGTTGCGACCACCGACTGCAAACGAATAACATTTAAGCGGGAAATTCGAAGAAAGCTAATATTGAAATACGAGGTATGGGTGGGGGAACTGTCCTAGGAAATGCATCGAGTGAATTGTTGGTACAAATTCAAATGCCACATTACAAAATTCATGGGAAAATGATGCTGAAATTATGGGAAAATTAATCATTTTTCATCATTTTCTAAAAATGTTTTTGATTAATTAATGATTAAATTCGAAAAAATGATTAACTGATTAATTGATTAATCAGAACCATGCCCTAGCATGCAAGACTTCGCCTACTCGCCATAAGGAAAGAATGGACGTCACCTGGAGCACATCCCATATTGTACTGGTAAGTGCACTTATCAAGCGTTACCTCTGTTACATTGTGCAGAACTGCATCGGAATGACGAATTGGATCTGAAATCTTTCGACATCAGTGGAAAGTTAGATGAATGTTTTAAATAGAAACGCTATTACGATATTTTTAAACTCTTGAGAAACTACGCTGTGAAGCGTTAAAGATAACCGAATATTTTCTTGGCCCACCCTGTACATAGACCGGCATCGCGGAAGTTGAAGCCTCCGCCACGAGCGAAGAAGGCCGTGACAGCTTATACCCTTGTCATCTACGTTTCCACCCAAGTTCCGCGTCGAATCGACGTATCTGTGCCACACGGGTTGGGATCGCGCGAAGAAAGAACTCGTGATGTCTCATGGAGAAGAGGGACACGCTGCGAAAACTTTTTGAACCTGCCCAGTTTAAAAGGGGAAGGAAGAAAGGGACTGCAAGAAAGACTTCGTTCATTACCTCCAGTTTCTTTTTTTCTTAATGCAGATTTTCCAGGCCACTAGCGATGCGAGGCTGTCTTGGGTGTTACATCACCGAATGAGATGCTGGCCACTGGCCGACAGGCGGAAAAGAATACCAGAAATTCATGCTCCAAAGCTCTTCTACAGTGGCGTATTTTACAGGGGGGCAGGGGGGGCAACCGCCCCCCCTGGCGCCCATAGGACAGAGCCTGGCGCCCCCTCGGAGAAAATAATTTTCTCACCTGATATCACTCGGGTGGGGTTTGGCGCCACGCTCTGTTGCCTTGCCCCCTCCTGACCCTTCAGCCAAAATACGCCACTGCTCTTCTAGGCTCTATAATAATTATAAGAATCACGAAAGGCCATTCATGTATCGTCTGCATCATCTTGGGCATTCGGTTTGTAGCATTGAAGCGAAGCCAGTCGTCAGTTTGGCGGAGAACATTTTGGAATTTGTCGATCCCCCGATTTCAGAGTAATTTCACACCATTCGACAACTTTCTCGTAACATCTGTCGTTCCTCAAAATCATGCGACTTGCCGCATTAATTTTGACATTTTGGCCGTATTGCAGGTGGTGACATCTTGGCAGTGCTCTAATTCCTCCTCGAGAAAAAAGGTGTGCTTACCTGCTCAATAAGTGATCCTCCCGACCCCCCCCTTTCCCCATACCGTCTTCTTCCACGACCAGATGCAGTTTCATTTATGAGGAAATTCACCTCATCAAATTCACCGTTCTGTCTTAGGAAACTTCGCCTAATTTAAATAGATAAATTAAAGCTTAAATTAAACTCCATTCAATTTTACATTTGTTTCATGAAAGTTTTGAAGTCTCTAGGTTGTTTGGGTAAAGAGTTGTCGAAACTTCGATAATGATAAAAATTGCGCTTTTCCACGCATCGGGAGGCTGCGGTTTCAGCTGTGTTCTATACAGGGTGGGCAGAAAAAAGTTCCATCTTTTTCATTCCGCGGTCACATTATTGCTAATTAAGTTAGGCTCCTGCATTTAAGCCATTGATTAGAATGACTAAATTGCAATCGAAAACGTCTTGTTTTGTGAAAATTAGTTCATGAGCTTTTTGCACAGCGACAATTTCACGGTAAGAGATGAAAAACCGTCGCTGCGCAATCAGGTCTACATTCAACTCATCTCATTTTCGTTCATTTGCATGTTTTCACGAAAAGCATTGTAAAGGTACACTCGACAAAGAATATTAATTGACAGGTATATTTGAAAAAAGCAAAGTAATAACTCGCTGCTAAAAATGCTGGATTAGCGAGAGCGAAATTCGATGTGACCGTCATTTTCTTCTGCAACAGCAATGAACCTGCCGCTGCCGGATTGCCCAATTG